GCAACTATAATCCAATAAAAAATAATAAAATACAATGACAAATTACTCAGCAAAAAGCACTAGGATAATTGACAAACTGACACCTTAGTGTGTGAGTGATTCCAAATCAGAAAAGGAGAATGAAGCGAGAAAAATACCTGACACGTAACAATGTAACACACTTACTCCAAAACCCAAACTCATTAGCCTTCCAGCTTCATCAGATCCCCTGAGCTCTCGAGGGAAGACAGGTGTGGTCACGGCCAGCAGTTCTCATCCTGGGGCTCCAGCGACATCCCTCCCCAGACTCCCATATTGACCCACGTAGCTGGATCATTCCTGTCCTTGCTGCCTGGTTTCCTCTATAATTAAGCCCTTTTCCTCCTCACTCCAGTGTTCAAGTTGGGGCTGCTGCTTTTGAAATAAGGCTTCCGTCTTGTGGGGAAGCTCTTACGAGGCTGGAGTTTCAAAGACAAGCTGTGAGGCACCTAGTCCCCTCGGCAGGACAGCTCCAGGCCTTGTGTCCTGGGTCCCAGGACGTCAGGATCTCAAGTGACGTCTCTAGGGAGAAAGCCAGGCTGATGGTGCAGCGGGTGGTCCAGGGCACAAGCTACTGGAGAGAGCTGTGCAAACACAGGAGGGGCGGAGCTGTTTAAGGCTGTCATTCTGGAAGCTTCAACCCCATTCTCCTCTTCAAGACAGAAAAAAATCAAAGCCCCTTGTCTACACACTTCTAGGGGCTAATATGTTCCACTTGCCCAGCCCTCCAGAGATTCCCTGTCTGCCTGCTGTGCACCAGGCACTGGGCTAATTCCTGTATTTGCGGGTTTTCCAATGTAATTCTCCTGTAAGAGCAAATCTGGGGTGTGCTCTTCACTCCCTGCCCGACACACCCCAGCCGGCTTCTCTGACCTTGTATCTGCCAACCTTCCTCCTGCTTCTATAGCAGGTCAAAATATGCCTACGTTAGGGTCTTTGCATAGTATAAGAGAGCAGTAAAGGATCAGGGCTCACTGTACTGGATGCTTGAAATTTGCGAAGGGGATAGATTCTAAATTAAATCTTCTCAACACCTACACACAGACAATGGTAACTGTGTCAGGAGATGGATAAGTTGTTTAGCTGGATTGTGGTGATCTTTTCACAGTAGATACATGTATCAAAACATCAAGTTGTGCATCTTAAATAGATACACTTTGATATGTCAAAGATATCTCAATAAAGGTGTTTTTAAAAAATCAAAGAAAGATTTTTTTTCTTCCAAAAAACTATGTTGCGTCTAATTTTCCTTTCAGCAGTATGTGCCGAGGTGATGCAGATGAGGCCCTGATCTCCTACAAGTTATTGGGCATAATTATATGAGACAAACTTTTAAAAAGAGAAGGAGAGAAAGACAGTTTAATAAAATTCTTGTCTATTAGTATCTGGGAATTGCAAGAAGTCACAGAGAGAAAGAAGGCTTGATCACAGACCTCAAGAACTTTCTTTTTAATTCCAAAATGAAAGAACTGAAATAACTTTCCACCAATTAAATTGGCAAAGTTTTTTTTAAAGGGAACGTTTCTGGAGCTAGAGAACTGCTTTCAGATCCAAGTCCAGTCCAACTGGCTGTGTGAGCTTGGACAGGTTAGCCAACCTCTCTGGGCCTCAGTTCCCCCCCACCCCGCCCCCGTAAAATGGTTTAGTGAAGACAAAAGGAGCAGTACCTGTGTCCTCTTAGCACAGAATCTGGCATACATCAGGCACTTAATAAATACTAGATAAGAACATCTTCCTGGAAATTTCTTCCCCCCAAATATCTCAGGGCCGCCACCTTCCTGATAGTAGGATCTGTCTAGACATCACTTCCCCTCCTTGTTCCCTTATTTTATTTTTCTCATGGCATTTATTGCCCGCATTTGCCTTATTGTTGATCTGTTACCATCTATCCCCACACTCCCCGAAATGGAACTTCCTTAACGAAGTCTCCTTATCACTCACTTCTGCATCTCCGGTGCCTAGAAAAACACCTGGTGCATAATAGCAATGCAGGAAGTATTTATAGAAAGAAGGAATCCTTGTTTGCTGGATGAGGAATAGTGAGGGGTCAGCCATGACTCAAATGCAAGCCTGGCCACACATGTGGAGCCTCCAGCGAGGAAATCCGCTTTCCTCTGGGCCTGACCACCCTGGCGAGGGTCCTGCTGTCCAATTGACCCTCATGGGCCAGACCCCCGCATCTGACCGGGAGCGTCACCAGCTCCCGGGTGGACCAGAGCCCTGAGCTGAGAACCACTCGGCATCTCCAAGTCCTGGCAGCGTTTTGCATTGTCAGCTGGATAAAGTGTGATTTATCACAGAACAGATTTCTGTTTGGCCATCTGTAGGTGAGAGGCAGGAAGCAAAGAGGAGGAAAGCAGAGGCATCATCTCAGAAATACAGCTTAGCCCTGCCTTTCCTACCCTTTTCCTTTTCTTCTTTTCCAGAGATGTCCGAAAAGTAGCTGTCAGACACTTTAGTAGTGAAGGAACTGCTGAAATGGCAGCAGATCTCCTGCAAACGTAAAACTTCCTCTGTGGCAGCTGAGTGGGGAGTGCAAATTGTGGGTGAGATGCTACATAAGACAGAAGTTCTTTGGGAGAACAGGACACAGAGAAAGGAAAGCGTTCTCCCAGCCCAAAGCTGGGGCCAGGCGGAAGTCACCGCCCCTGGATGAGAAGCTCTGACTCGGAGAATTCCCGAAACCGCGGGCCCTTCCTGAACCTGGGAGCAGGGCTCTCCCAGTCCTGCTTTCCTCCCAGCCCTGCCGTGTCCTCCCCACTGCCTAAGGAGGAGAGAAAGGAGGTAGGATAAAGGGGGAATGGAGTGGGGAGGACAGGAGAGGGAATATAAGACCTCCTGAGAGGTACAGGCAGCGTCCTCTTCACCCCAGCTCTTAGCAGAATAACTCGGTCAGCTCTGCTGTGTAACAAGTGACCCCAACATTCAGTTGTTGAAGGCGATGATCATGTCCTCTTGCTTATGCGTTTGCGGGTCGTCTGGTGGTCTGTGGGCCTGGCTGGGGAGGACCCCCCCCCTTCCCTGCAGGTCGGGCTATGATCTGTCCAGGTGCCTCATTCCAGGGCGGGGCTGAGAGGTCTCAGCTACTTCAAGTTCCTCTGGTGGCAATTCACAAGGGCTGGCAGAAATACACAACAGCTCTTGAGTCTGAGCTTGGAGAGAGGTTGGTCGTCACCTTTCTCTGCATTCTCTTGGCCACAGCTAGTCACATGGCCCAGTTTGCCATCAATAGGAACTAGAGTCATTCTCCCACCGTAGAAGGAAAGGGATAAGAATCAAAGCCAACAACTCAATTAGCACCGAACCAGTGGGCACCATGGTTAAGAGCAGAGCTCTGGGGTCGATGGTGTTTAAGTTCTGACTCACTGACTGTGTGACCTGTGGCAAGTTACATCACCTCTCTGTCTTTTGTTTCCTCATTTGAAATAATGGATGTGATTGTTAAAATGTAGCCCTGTCCCATGTTCATGGTGAGGATTCAGTGGATGATTCACGTTACCTCTTAGAATGGTTCCTGCTTTACTGCAAGCCCTCAGAGAACATTTGGTCACTGTTATAAAACATGCAGTCACCACTGAGAGTCCATCTCCTCGTGTATGTTCCCATGTGTGAGCGGTGGGCGGGTGTCAGGTGCAACGTGGGAGGAGCAGCCCTGAGTGTCCCCTGAGGGAGGAAGTGGGGAGCCAGGCACCTGAGCGCCTTTTCCCCACCAGGGGCACATGCCCTGGTTGCCTTGGCAACACTCTGCTCTGGGGATGTTGAAATGGTTTCTGGCCATTTAATTCTCCATTGAGAGAACCTCCTGTTGTTCACCAGTAGTTTGCATGAAGAAATAGTCTGCCAAACAGTCTCCCGGGGCACGGTCGGCAGCCTGCCCCAGCGAGGAATGCTCAGCCTGGCTCTTGGTGGGCGGAGGGTTCACACTTGGCATACTGCCAGTGGGGACGTTGTGCAAAAGTTAAAATTAAGAGAATAATAGCAAAATAAGTAAATACATTTGGGCAGTTAGCTGTCACGGGTGGTGAGATGGGGAAAGATGGGAGAAAGCAGGACAGAAGGGGAGGGAGCCTGCTGCGGGGTATGGGCACCTTTGAGGCTGGCTTTCAATACCTCTGAGGACAGCTGCAGCCCACTGCCCCTCCCAGCAGCACCCCCCAGACTCCCCAGTCTGGTCTATGAGACCAGCAAGACATCACGGTAGAAAACTCAAACGCTTTCAGGGTTCAGGCTGCTAACAAAATTGAATGCAATGGTTTTCCAATGCTGGTAACTAGTTTGCTGTTTTAAAAACACCATGCAGGTCAAATGTGACCCACAAGCTCTGATTCATTCATTCATTCATTCATTCATTCCTTTTTCAACATATATTTCATGAGCACCTGTTATGTGCCAGGGGCCATTTCAGGCACTAGGGGTTACAAAAGTGAACAAAACAGACAAAAATCCCTGTCATCCTAGGACTTTACGTTCTGGTGAGCGAAGACAAATAAAAACCAAAATAAATAGGCAAAATGTATAGTGTATGAGATGGCAATAAGTGATAGAGAAAAATCAAGCAAAGAAGAGAGGGTCAGGTGTCTTGGAAGAGTTGCAATTTTACATTAAAATGTCTGAGAAAGGATCTCTGAGAATTTACAGACCTTTCCCAACCGCGGCACTGTCGACTGACTCTATTTGTGGGGCTGTCCTGTAGGATAGTGTAGGGTGTTGAGCAAGCACCCTTTGCCTCTGCCCTTAGATGCCAGTTGCCCATCTTCAAATTGTGACAACCTCCTTCCCTAGTTGTGACAACCAAAAAGATCTCCAAAGATTGTCCGGTGTCCCCTGGAGGACGCAGTGGTCCCAGTTGAGAATCATTAGATTAAAGACCTAAAGGAAACAAGACAGGGATGTCCACTCTCGCCACTTTTGTTCAACATAGTTTTGGAAGTCCTAGGCACAGCAATCAGAGGAGAAAAAGAAATAAAAGGAATCCAGCTCTGCAGCATAATTTAAGCATCGGGGGAGCTGTAGTTGTCACGCTGTACAAGATGGGTTTTCCTGAAGCTGCCGGTTCCTTTAGAACTCATCAAAATGAGGCTGCTCCAACCAGCTCTGCAGCTGATGGATTTAAGGCAAATCTAGCCTTTAAGGAGATTGAGAAGAAGCTTGAAGAGGAAGGAGAGCAGTTGGTGAAGAAAATCGGTGGTATTTCTGCCTTCAAGGTGAAGGATGGCCCTGGGGGGAAAGAAGCCACCTGGGCGGTGGACGTGAAGAATGGTAAAGGACCGGTGCTCCCTAACTCAGATAAGAAGGCCGACTGCACAATTACAGTGGCTGACTCGGACTTACTGGCTTTGATGACGGGTCAAATGAATCCTCAGTCGTCCTTCTTTCAAGGCAAATTGAAAATCACTGGCAACATGGGTCTGGCTGCGAAGTTACAAAATCGTCAGCTTCAGCCAGGCAAAGCTAAGCTGTGAAGAACTCCCTTTGCCTACCTTTGAGAATCAAGATGAGATGTATAGATATATATCCATATATTTCATTGTCGGAACTTAGATTGAAACTACACATTGGCAAATAGCATGAGATTTGTTTTTAAAGGGGTGTGACCAATCCTGTTTTTCCTAAGCTCTGGGTGAATAGGACCTGATGATGTACTCTACTGCTTTGCTGAATTGCGTACAACTGTGCCTTATGAAGTTAATATGGTAATTATGGTTTGGGGTAAAATTGAGTTTTAGAATAAAATTAGGAATAGCAAAATCCCCAAACTGTGTAAACAAAAGCTCTTATTTTACTTAGTTTTCCTTGGGAGAAACTAGGGAAGAAACAGAACACCAGGAGCTGGCCAGTAATTAGTGTTGTGCACTTAATGACCTTAATCTCTTTTCCACTGATAATTTTTTAAATTCTGTACTGGGATGTTTTTTTAAAAAAAAAACAAAAACAAAGTTTTGCATTTCATGCCATCAAAACGGTATTTTCTTCCCAAATCCAAGAAATATGATCAAGGCTTGGGAGAAAAAAATCTATAGCTGAACACAGGCCTATTTTTTTGTTTTGTTTTGTTTTGTTTTGTTTTTTGCGGTACGCGGGCCCCTCACTGCTGTGGCCTCTCCCGTTGCGGAGCACAGGCTCCGGACGCGCAGGCTCAGCGGCCACGGCTCACGGGCCCAGCCGCTCCGCGGCACGTGGGATCTTCCCGGACCGGGGCTCGAACCCGTGTCCCCCGCATCGACAGGCGGACTCTCAACCACTGCGCCTCCAGGGAAGCCCGGGCCTATTTTTTAAAACAAAAATATTTTTTAAGTGAGGTTTCCTTCTTGAAAAAATATCAATGTATTAGAATCATAAAACACTGTTGTTAAAAATAATTGAACAAAGTTTGCTTTGAGATGCACAGTTTTCACATTATCATCTCATATTAATTAAATTTGTAAAGCTCTCCTTCCTTTGTTATAATTTTCCTTTTTCATATGTTTAGTTTAACTAGCCACATTTAATTTACCTTCCTAGTCTTTTTTTCTTTAATTCAACTTAAAGGAATATTACTTTTTATTCCTTTTTTTTTTTTTAAGGTAAATTTCATGTCAGACTTTGGCATGTGATGTGTTTTTCCTACTTTTGCCTTCCTAGTTTTTCTAATGCTGAAGTTATTTCTAGTAACTCGGTAAGATATGGAGTAAAATCATGTTTTTGGAAGAATGTTTAATAGAAAATTAAAATAGCTCTTCCTCAAAAAAAAAAAAAAAAAAAAGAATCCGAATTGGAAAAGAAGTAAAACTGTCACTGTTTGCAGACGGCCTGATACTGTTCATAGAAAACTCTACAGACACTACCGGAAAACTACTGGAGCTCATCGATGAATTCAGTGAGGTTGCAGGATACAAAATTAATGCACAGAAATCTGTTGCATTTCTATACACTAACAACAAAGGAACTTATATACAAAACAGAAATAGACCCACAGACATGGAAAACAAACTTATGGTTGCCAAAGGGGAAGGGCAGGGGGGAGAGAGATAAATTAGGAGTTTGGGATGAACAGATATTCACTACTATATATAAAATAGATGACCAAGAAGGACCTACGATACTCAATATTTTGTAATAACCTATAAGGGAAAAGAATCTGGAAAAGAGCGTATGTATATAACTGAATCACTTTGCCACACCCCGAAACTAACACAACATTGGAAATCAACTATTCTTCAAATAAAAAAAAAAGCCCTAAAGGAGATGCGGAGCAAATCATGCAGACGCCTAGGGAGGATGCTTCAGATAGAGAGTAAGCAAGTGCAAAGGCCCTGCGGCAGGAGCACGTCTGGTGTGTTCAAGGACCAGGCAGGGGCAGAGTGAGCAAGGCGAGGATTAGTGGGAGACACACCTAGGAGAGACGCCAAGGGCCACATCAGGGAGGAGCTTGGACTCATTCAAGGGTTTTTCCTGAGTTTAAAAGGTGGCCACAATTCACAAAAATTTTTAAACACTAGTCCCAGATTAAGAAGCTGGGAAATGGGGGACTTCCCTGGCGGTCCAGTGGTTAAGACTCCAAGCTTCCAATGCAGGGGGTGCTGCTTTGATCCTTGGTCAGGGAGCTAAGATCCCACACGCCTCGCGGTGTTCGCCCCCCCTAAAAAAAGAAGATGGGAAATGTTAGAGAAGAGGTCTCTGTGCTGGATATGCTGTTTGTCCCTCCAGACCCCTCTGCCCTTCTCCCACCCTGCTCTGGGAGGTTAACCTTTGTAGATTACATCCCAGTCATCCTCAGGGTTCCCACGAGGCTGGAGGCAGGGGGAGGCACCCGCAGGCACTGGAGGGTGGGGAAACTGAGGTCGGTCTGTTTTATTCCTCTGGGCGCCTTGCAGCACGGTTGTGAGTTGACATTGGCTGCATTTTCTGCCAAGGTGGGCAGGCCTCTCGAGCAGGGACAGTGCCCAACTGGGCACAGACACCAGCCCTTTAAGGGCCCACCCTAGGCTGGTATCACCTCATTTTTAGCTAATTACATCTGCAGAGACCCTATTTCCAAATCAGGTCCTACTCGGAGGTCCTGGATTTTGGAGAATGCTATTCAATGCACTACCCTGACCTCTGTCTCTGCTGGGCTTTGCCATCTCTTGCTGGTTTCCTTCAACCCTACCCACACCTTTGTAGAGAGTCCCTCTGTTAAACTCTCCTAAGTTCCAGGTAGCATGTACTATCTGTTCCCTGACGAGATGTGCAATGTTCCGGCCTGTCTGAGTGGGCTGCTTTGGGAATGGGCCAAGAGAGCGAGGGCCAGGGCAACTGGCGGAAAGGACCTGAGCTGGTCCACATCAGAGTCAGTGGCCAGTGGCCTCTCTCGGGGCCCCTTTCCCTGGTCCCCCAGCCCACAGGAATGGAAAAGACCCCAAGACTCACATGGCAGGAAGGGCGATTTCCAAGGCCACAATCTCAGGATATTATCTGTTAAGACAACACAACTGAAACAGTCTGATCAAATCCTGCGCTGACTGTCATAAACCGGTTCTATGCTTCACCCCTATTCTCCACCTTGGGCAAGCTGCAACCTCAGTGAGCCTCAGTTTTCTCATCTCTAAAATGGGATCCTGATGGCTGTCCAGAGCTCCAGAAAGGACCGAGGGTGAGAATGATGGGGAAAGCACATGGCAGATGTAAAAGCAGGCATCAGGACAGTGTAAGAGCATTTGATAGTTTATGTTAACAGGGCAGGTACACACACTCTGGTGTACAAGAAATGTAAGTCGTTTTTCTGTATTTGAACTTAATTTCTACTCTCAACCCCTAGCCTCCGAAGAGGCAAAACCTATTAGAGCTAGATTTCTGAGCATATTAAGTTGGAAATGCTAATTAGAGAGCCAAGTAGAGATGGTGAGTAAGCACTTTTTATCTGGAGGTCGGATGTGGGGAGTTATTAGCACAGAGATGGTATTTAAAGCATCAGAGCTAAGTGATTACAGTAATGAAAGGAGTATATACGGACTGAATGTTTGTGTGACACCCCGCAAATACCTATGTTGAGATTTTAAACCCCAGTGTGATGGTGTTCGGAGGCAGGGGTTTAGGGAGGTGATTAGGCCACAAGGGCGGAGCTTTCATGAATAAATTAGTGCTTTTATAAGAAGCTCCAGAGGGCTCCCTCACCCCTTCCACCAAGTGAGGACACAGAGAGAAGACAGCCATCTATGAGGCAGGAATGGGCCCTCACCAGACACAGACTCTGCCGGCACCTTCACATTGGACTTCCCAGCCTCCAGACTGTGAGAAATAAATGACTGTGGTTTAAGCCCCCGGCCCCGTCTCTGGGTGTTCTGTTATTGCAGCCCCAAAGGGCTAAGACAGGATATTTAAGCTGCCATGGAAACACAGAAGAAGGGGCAATTGCATTATTTCAAGGAGTGAGTCTCTAATTGTGGTCCCCAGACCTGAAGCATCAGTGTCTCCCAGGAACTTGTTAGAGGTGCAAATATCGCCCCCCCCCCCCCCCCCCC